ACCAACGGAACAACTGGCGGGACAACCATCGGGATAATCAGAGGGACAACTGGCGAAACAACCATCGGGATAACCATCAGGACGGCAAACGAAGGAACCATCGGGACAACCATCGGGGCAACCATAAGGGACAACCATCGGGGCAACCATCGGGACAACCATCGGGACAATAATCGGGACAACCATCGGGGCAACCATCGGGACAGCCATCGGGACAGCCGTCGGGACAACCGTCGGGACGATCACTTGGCATGTGCTTAGGTCCACCGGGACAGCCCAGGAGCCACCGGGGGCACGGCCCAAAGGATGAGGCGGATGAGTCGAATGAGCAGGAACACTGTTGTGCCTGATGCTGCCTGGACGCACTCTCGTCCATTGAAAGCGCGTCCACGCTCAACTGCAGTCTCTGCCGCAGACTTTCCCGTCGGCGGCGAGGCAGAGGCAGGCAGCTCCAGCGTGTGGCTGTTCGGGGCAACCGAAAGGCGAATTGACGCTCTCTGCTGCAAACATCCCAAAAAAATTGGCTGACACACTGTCACGTGGGGAAAAAACACACACAAACAAATCACGTGTGTGTGTGTGTGTTGTGTGTTGTGTGCGTGTTTGTTTTGTGTGTGTTTTCCCCCACGGCACACGCCCGACGGCCCTCGGCACTGGAGGCAGCGGCAGGTCTTCCGAGATGCTGCCATCCCCCGTGGAGGCGCACCTCTGGCCAGACGTCAGAGTCCACACGAAAACAGTCCGACCACCGACCATCCTGGGACGGCGCGCCCCCTGCTGAGGGCGGCGATCGTGAATTACTGCAACGATCGCGTAGGCACGTGTGGACTGGCCGAAGATCCAGTACAGCCGCGCGGCTTGGCGCTCCCACCTGGCCGCTGTTCACCCATCTAAACATACACTCGCCGTCAATTGGACGTCCATTCACTGCGCATGTATCGGCTTGGTGCGTGCTCTATTTTGCCCGATGGTCGAGGACGCTCCTCGAAGGTCCTCGCCGAGAAACAATGCACACGTCCCAGCGACGCCGAGCACAACCCGCCCCCCTCTTCACCCTCGGAGCTTCGCTGGCGCGGCTCGCACGCGGGCCGCCGCGGTCCGAGATCGGTCGGACACTCAGCGCCGACAACCGCGCGGTTCGGCAGCAAGGGGGAGGGAGGAGGAGGAGGAGGAGGAGGAGGAGGAGAAGGAGGAGGAGGAGGAGGAAAAGGACGAGGAAGAGGAGAAGGGGGAGGAGGAGGAGGAGGAGGAGGAGGAGGAGGAGGAGGAGGGAGGAGAGGAGGAGGAGGAGGAGGAGGAGGAGGAGCGAGAGGGGGGGGGGGAGGGGGCGGGGAGGGAGGAGGAGGAGGAGGAGGACGAGGACGAGGAGAGGAGGAGGAGGAGGAGACGGAAGGAGGGGGGAGGAGGAGGAGGAGGAGGAGAGGAGGAGGAGGAGGAGGAGGAGGGAGGGGAGGAGGAGGAGGGGAGGAGGAGGAGGAGGAGAGGAGGAGAGGAGGAGGAACGAGGAGGAGGAGGAGGAGGAGGAGGGGAGGAGGAGGAGGAGGAGGAGGAGGAGAGGAGGAGGAGGAGAGGAGGAGGGAGGAGGGAGAGAGGAGGAGGAGGAGGAGGAGGAGGGAGGAGGAGGAGAGGAGGAGGAAGGGGAGGGGGGAGGAGGAGGAGGAGGAGGAGGAGGAGGAGGGAGGAGGAGGAGGAGGAGGAGGAGGAGGAGGAGGAGGAGGAGGAGGAGGAGGAGGGGAGGAGGAGGAGGAGGAGGAGGAGGAGGAGGAGGAGGAGGAGGAAGGAGGAGGAGGAGGAGGAGGCGGAGGGGGGAGGAGGAGGAGGAGGAGGAGGAGGAGGAGGAGGAGGGAGGAGGGAGGGAGGAGGAGGAGGAGGAGGAGAGGAGGGGGGGGGGCAGAGGAGGCGTCTTGAAACAACCGAAGGGGCCCGCCGCTGGGAGGCCGGGCTTCGCCGGCGCACCGCGGGAAGCCGAGGGGCGGGCACGCGTGCGCAGGCAGCCAGAAACGCTGGCTGCGGCGCCGCGCAGAGTGCGGTGAGTGCAGACACAATGGCACCACACGTAGGGGGCCACATGCGAGCCCTACCCCTACCCCCCACGACTTCTGAGGGGGAGGGTGGGGCTCGCTTCGCTCGGAACCTTCCGAACGAAGTGAACCCCACCCTCCCCTTCAGAAATCGTGGGGGGTAGGGGTAGGGCTCGCACGGGGCCCCCTAACACGCAAAAAAACCTGACACACCACTTGCGGAGCACATCACAGACTGCATCCAACCGTCCGTGAAGCTGCGAGGCCCCAAACTCGCGAGAGATGGCTGCCGGCCATCTCGTGAGAACCGGCTGCAAACGAAGGCCAACCAACCGAGCGGACCTGGTTCGACGCCGTCGACGTGATGGATGACCCAGTGCGAGGCTAAGTGAACACGTGGAGCAAACAGTATACAGGAGCATCATCAAAAAATGAAACGCTTGCGGCAGAAGACCCTAAACAGCTTAAAACAGTTGCGGTGGGGGCCACGATGGAGGGTCACGATGTGGGACCACGATGGAGGGCTCCGACGGGGGGGTCGGGATAGGGCTAGGGATGTAGGGCTAGGGATAGAGGTACGAATAGGGGTACGGATGTAGGGACATGGATATAGGAATACGAGTATTGGGATAGGGATACGGATCGGAATGGGGATAGGGAGTGGGAATTTGGCTAGGGGTTAAGGGATATGGATAGGGATGGAGGCAGGGGGATAGGATTAAGACTAGGGATAGGGATACAGGTAAGGACCGGGATACGGATAGGGATGGGGATAGGCAATGGGAGACTACGGGAGACTATGGGAGACCTTAGGAGACAATGGCAGACAACGGTATCCAACGGGGATGGGGATAGGACTAGGGACATGAATAGAGATAAGGATAGGGATACGGATGGGGATAGACAAAAGGGAAACAAAGGTAGACAATGGTAGACAGTGGGAGGCAATGGGGAGACAACGGGAGACACTGGGGTTAAGGATAGGGATACACGGATAGAAGTAGGGACAGGAAGAAAGGCTAGGATAAATAATGGGAGGCAACGGAAGACAACGGCAGACGATGGGAGACCGTGGGAGACAATGGGAGACCATGGGAGGCATCGGGAAGCAACGGGAGGCAACGGGAGACAATGGGAGACAACGGGAGGCGAAAAGTGTGAGGGGTATGCCGGTGTGCCAAAATAGGGCGTACGCATGCGGGCTGCGCCCCTGGGACCTTCGTTGGAGCTCCCCATGGGGCAACGAAACGTGCGCGGGGTGTGCCGACATGAGTGTGGCGGACGCATGTGGCCACACCCAATGGGGCCTTCGGTGGAGCTCCCTATGGGGACACGAAACGTGTGAGGGGTGTGTGTCGAAATGCGTGTGGCGGACGCATGTGGCCACACACACACACACACACCACTAGGGCCTTCGGGTGAGATCCCTGTGGGGCCACGAAACATGTGAGGGGTGTGCCGAAAGAAGTGTGGCGGACGCATGTGGCCACACACCCCGCTGGAGCCTTAGGTGGAGCTCCCTTGAGGGCCACGAAACATGCGCGAGGTGTACCGAAATGAGTGTGGCGGACGCATGTGGCCACACCACTAGGGCCTTAGGTGGAGCTCGACATGGGGTCACGAAACGTGTCAGAGGTGTGCCGAGATGGGTATGATGACGACGGTGATGATGACGCTGATGGTGGTGATGACTGGTGATGACATGCGGAGGGCCGAGGCAGGGATAAAAGGAGGATGGGGTGAGGAGGAGGAGGAGGAGGAGGAGGAGGGAGGAGGAGGAGGAGGAAGAGGAGGAAGAGGAGGAGGGAAGAGGAACGCGGGGCTTTGTCTCTTCAAAACGGGAAACTAACACCACAAGACGGTTGGGAAGCATGGGTGCGCTCCGACCGCCCCGACAAGCGTGATCACCTTCGCGGACCATGCTACACCTGCGCCAACGCCTGGGCATAGGATGGCCTGATCTTGTCATCTGGGGGGGGCTGCAGAAAGAGAGAGAGAGAGAGAGAAGGAGAGGGACAGAAAGGCAGGGAAGGGCAGAGAGGGCAGAGGCAGGGACGAAAGGAGGGAGGGGCGAGGAGGAGGAGGAAGAGGAGGAGGAGGAGGAGGAGGGAGGAGGAGGAGGAGGAGGAGGAGGAGGAGGAGAGGAGGAGGAGGGGGAGAGGAGGACGAGGGGGGAGGAGGAGGAGGAGGAGGAGGAGGAGGAGGAGGAGGAGGAGGAGGAGGAAAGGGAAAAGGAGGAGGAGGACGAGGAGGAGGGAAGGAGGAGGAGGAGGAGGAGGGGGAGGGGGAGGAAGAGGAGGAGGCGGAGGATGAGGAGGAGGAGGAAGATGAGGAGGAGAGAGAGAGAGAGATAACAAAAAAGCAGAGAGAGAGAGAGCGAGAGAACAAACCAACAAACAAACAGCCAGGCGCACTTTCCCCTGCCGTGCTTGCGGTCCGAGCGGAACTGGCCCTGGCGCCAGGCCGCGGCAGGGTGGAAGGCCGACGCGGCGTCGGTGCGCGACGCCACCGCAGCTGCCGGCCGAGGAGCCTTTGCATCAGTCACTGCACCGACCTTGCAGACGTGCCGCAGCGGACTTCTGCATGGATTGCTGCCAGCGCAAAACCCCGAAACGGCGAGTGAAAAGCGGAGTGAGTTTCGCGAGGATGTTTGTTTAGTTTATTCCTGGCCAAAAACATGCGCAAAAAATGAACCTCGAAATCTGAAACGAAATTATCCAGGACACTCTGGGTCCACCCTATTGAAATCCGAACGAAATCCGTTCTGCGATGTTGGAGCCTTGGCATCAGGTCTTGACGAGCGCGTTCCACTACTCGCATAGTAGCTACTTGCCAGTGGCCTGAATCCGCCGCGGGGGATCTACGCTCCACTACACAGAAGAAGACACGTTTTTTTGCCCGGACGTTTGCGAGCAGGCACTTTGCGAGCAGTGGAACGCGCTCGGTGAAGGTCGGGCATGTCCTCCTACAGGCGGATGTTGGAAGAAAAATAACAAGTAGTGAAAAGATTCAAAGGTGGTAGAAAGTAAAAATAGCCTGGCGAAGGACACAACCATACACAGTTGTGAACAGCGTCGTTGTATGCACCGCATTCGCAGGAGCTCCCTATGGGGCCACGAAACGTGTGAGGGGTGTGCCATCCCAGTGTGCGCATGTGAAATCAACCACTGGGGCCATCGGTGGAATTCCTTATGGGTCCACGAAACTCGTGAGAGGTGTGCACACATGGATGTGCGTGACGCATGCGGGCGGTGGCACTGGGGCCTTCGGTGGAGCTCCGCATCGGGCCACAAAACGTATGAGGGGTGTGCCGAGACGGGTGTGCGTGACCATGCGGGCGGTGGCAATGGGGCCTTCGGTGGAGCCCCCTTTTATGGGGCCGCGAAACGTGTGAAAGGTGTGCCAAAATGGGTGTGCGTGACGCAAGCGGGCGGTGGCATTGGGGCATTCGGTGGAATTCCCTGTGGGGCCACGTAAAGTGTGAGGGGTGCACCGACATGGGTCTGCGTGACGCACGCGGGCGAAGACCTTTCGGTGGGGCCACGAAGCGTGCGAGGGGTGTACCGAGAGCTCCCTTATGGGGCCACGAAACGTGTGAGGGGTGTGTCGACATGGGTTTGCGTGACGCATGCGGGCGGTGGCACTGGGGCATTCGGTGGAGCTCCCTGTGGGGCCACAAACGTGTGAGGAGTGTGCCGAAATGGATGTGCGTGACGCATGCGGGCAATGGCACTGGGGCCTTCGGTGGAGCTCCGTATCGGGCCACAAAACGTATGAGGGGTGTGCCGAAACGGGTGTGCGTGACCATGCGGGCGGTGGCAATGGGGCATTCGGTGGAGCTCCCCATGATGCCACGAAACGTGTTAAGGGTGTGCCGAAATGGGTGTGGGTGACGCATGCGGGCGGTGGCACTGGGGCCTTCGGTGAAGCTCCCCATGGGGCCACGAAACGTGTGAGGGGTGTGCCAGCATGGGTCTGCGTGACGCACGCGGGCGGTGTAACTGAGGCATTCGGTGGAGCTCCCTGTGGGGCCACGAAACATGTGAGGGGTGTGCCGACATGGGTCTGCATGACGCACGCGGGCGGTGGCAAGACGTTTCGGTGGGGCCACGAACCGTGTGAGGGGTGTACCGAGAGCTCCGTTATGGGGCCACGAAACGTGTGAGGGGTGTGTCGACATGGATTTGCGTGACGCATGCGGGCGGTGGCACTGGGGCCTTCGGTGGAGCTCCCTGTGGGGCCACGAGACGTGCGAAAGGTGTGCCGACATGGGTCTGCGTGACGCATGCGGGCGGTGGCACTGGGGCCTTCGGTGGAGCTCCCTATGGGGCCACGTAAAGTGTGAGGGGTGTGCTGGCATAGGTCTGCGTGACGCATGCAGGCGGTGGCACTGGGGCATTCGGTGGAGCTCCCTGTGGGGCCACGAAACGTGTGAGGGGTGTGCCGACATGGGTCTGCGTGACGCACGCGGGCGGTGGCACTGGGGCATTCGGTGGAGCTCCCCATGAGGCCACGAAACGTGTGAGGGGTGTGCCGGCATGGGTCTGCGTGACGCATGCGGGCGGTGGCATTGGGCCCTCCGAAGAGCTCCGTGTGGGGCCACTAAACGTGTGAGGGGTGTACCGACATGGGTCTGCGTGACGCACGCGGGCGAAGACCCTTCGGTGGGGCCACGAAGCGTGCGAGGGGTGTACCGAGAGCTCCCTATGGGGCCACGAAACGTGTGAGGTGTGTGCCGAAATGGGCGTGGGTGACGCATGCGGGCGGTGGCACTGGGGCCTTCGGTGGAGCTCCCTGTGCGGCCACGGAGCGTGTGAGGGGTGTGCCGAAATAGGTTTGCGTGACGCATGCGGGCGGTGGCACTGGGGCCTCCGCTGGAGCTCCTATGGGGCCACGAAACGTGCGAGGGGTGTGCCGAAATGGGCGCGGGTGACGCACGAATGCGGTGGCACTGGGGCCTTCGGTGCGGGGCTACGAAACGTGCGAGGGGTGCGCCGAAATTGGCGCGGGTGACGCATGCGAGCGGCGGGGGGGGGGCGGGGAGGAGTGAGTGACGCGGGGTGCTGTCTCTTCAAAACGAGGACCCAACACCACAAAACGGCTGGGAATCAGAGGCAGCAGCGTGGAATGGGCACTCCCCGCTGCAATGTCCCGGCGGAGAATCGCGGGTCACGCCCGGAGGCCGCGAGGAGGACATCCACCTCCATCCTCGTTTACGTCCACCACCTCATCCTCCTCAGTCCTCCGCAACACGCACCTGCTCATGCACCTTTTCAAGCAGCCTGGCATCCCCCTCCCCGTCCTCCTCCTCCTCCTCCTCCTCCTCCTCCTCCTCCTCTTCCTCCTCCTCCTCCTCCTCTTCCTCCTCCTCCTCCTCATCCTCCTCCTCCTCCTCCTCCTCCTCCTCCCTCCTCCTCCTCCTGGCCATCCTGTTCCTCCTCCTCCTCCTCCTCCTCCCCCTCCTCGTCCTGCTGCTCCTCCTCCTCCTCCTCCTCCTCGTCCTGCTGTTCCTCCTCCTCCCCCCTTACCTCTTCCTCCTCGCACTCCCCCCCTCCTCCCCCACCTGCTCCTATTCCAGATCATCGATAAGACGCGGCAGGCTGCATGAATAAGACGGCGCCGATGCACCTTCATCCGCGGGCAGCTTGCGCGCGTGCGAACGCGCAATCGATCCCCGCGGCATCGCCCCCCCCCAAAAAAAAACTTCAAACGAGGCGGCGCAACGGACCGTTTCTGTCAAAGCCTCGCCTCCCCCCTCGGGGGCGGTTTACCCACCCGTCCCGCTAGCAGACCGCGGAGGCCTTGGATAAGGAATCCAGGGTCTGGAGCCTTGTGGAGATCCACTTGCGTGGAACGGAGGGGGGCAGAAGTTGTCCGCCCCCAATCATTGTGAGCTCTCAACCCTCCCCCCGTCTTCTCCCCCCCTACTTCCTCCCCCCCCCCGCCCTCCACCTTCCTCCCGCCCCCTCCCACCTCCCCCCCACCCTTCCTCCGCCTCAGATCCCCTGGAGGAGGGCGGCAGGTGAGCGGTGCGGTTGCAGTTGCGCGCCCGCGGGCGGGTTGACATGCGTCGCCCAGTTGGAATTGCGGTTGCGCGCCCGCGGGCGGGTTGAAATGCGTCGCCCAATTGCGGTTGCGCGACCGCGGGCGGTTTCGAAATGCGTCGCCCAGTTGCGGTAACGGTTGCGCGCCCGCGGGCGGGTTGAAATGCGTCGCCCAGTTGCGGTTGCGGTTGCGGTTGCGCGCCCGCGGGCGGGTCGAAATGCGGCGCGCAATTGCCTTTGCGCGCCCACGGGCGGGACGAAATGTGTCGCCCAGGTGCGGTTGCGGTTGCGCGCCCGCGGGCGGGTTGAAATGTGTCGCCCAGTTGCGGTTGCGGCCGCGCGCCCGCGGGCAGTTTGAAACGTGGCGCCCAGTTGCGGTTGCGGTCGGGCGCCCGCGGGCGGGTTGAACTGTGTCGCCCAGTTGCGGTTGCGGTCGCGCGCGGGCGGGCGGGTCGAAATGTGTCGCGTGGTTGCGGTTGCGGTCGGGCGCCCGCGGGCGGTTTGAAATGCGTCGCCCAGTCGCGGTTGCGCGCCCGCGGGCGGGTCGAAATCTGTCGCCCAGGTGCGGTTGCGGTTGCGCGCCCGCGGGCGGCTTGAAATGTGTCGCCCAGTTGCGTTTGCTGTTTCGCGCCCGCGGGCGGGTCGAAATGCGTGGCCCAGGCGCGGCTCGGGTTGCGCGCCCGCGGGCGGGTTGAAATGCGTCACCCAGTTGCGCTTGCGCGCCCGCGGGCAGGTTGATATGCGTCGCCCAGTTGCGTTTGCGGTTGCGCGCCCGCGGGCGGGTCGAAATGCGTCGCGTAGTTGCGGTTGCGCGCCCACGGGCGGGTCGAAATGTGTCGCCCAGTTGCGGTTGCGGTTGCGCGCGCCCGCGGGCGGGTCGAAATGCGTCGCCCAAGTCGGTTGCGGTGCGCGCCCGCGGGCGGGTTGAAATGCGTCGCCCAGTTGCGGTTGCGGTGCGGGCCGAGCGCCCGCGGGCGGTTTGAAATGTGTCGCCCAGTTGCGGTTGCGGTTGCGCGCCCGCGGGCGGGTCGAAATGCGTCGCGTAGTTGCCTTTGCGCGCCCACGGGCGGGTCGAAATGTGTCGCCCAGTTGCGGTCGCGGTTGCGCGCCCGCGGGCGGGTCGACATGCGTCGCCCGAGTGCGTTTGCGGCGGCGCGCCCGCGGGCGGGTTGAAATGCGTCGCCCAGTTACGGTTGCGCGCCCGCGGGCGCTTTGAACTGTGTCGCCCAGTTGCGGTTGCAGTCGCGCGCCCGCGGGCGGTTTGAAATGCGTCGCCCAGTTGCGCTTGCGGTTGCGCGCCTGCGGGCGGGTCGAAATGTGTCGCCCAGTTGCGGTTGCGGTTGCGCGCTCGCGGGCGGCTTGACATGTGTCGCCCAGTTGCGGTTGCGGTTGCGCGCCCGCGGGCGGG